GTATATGGTACATACATTACCTTCATCCACCATCTTTATTTCAAAGGTATTTAGGCTTTCAAAACAACATTTTCCATTTAGGAGTTGAGGGGCTGCGGTCTGGCAGAGGACAAAACAAAGACAGCTTTCACAATTATCACAACTATGGCATGGGAACAAAGAAGAAGAGCTACCTGCAACACACACGTCCTCATGCTAAACAATGAAAACAAAACCACAGCAATTACAAGGGAAACACTAACAGCACATGACAAAATCTTCACTGGAGGATGAAAATAGTTCACAAGGTTCCTTTTGACCATTTATAACTTAACACTTCATTTAACACTTGCTTACTATTACTGGTGCCAAATATATGAGCGAGCAAGTCTCAAGAAATAAACTTGGATGTACAAGTGTGTCTGGTGAAGTGAAGTGCATAAAATAAAGTAATACAGTAATGTACATAATGCAAATATAACTTCTGTTCTTTTTGAATAATAGAAAATATTAAAAATTAAATACTAGCTGAAGATATTTCTTTACTTTACCTGGCATAAACCATTATCAATACTCTTATTGTGAATTATGTTTGAGCAATGAGGCGTGACATAATCCTCCTCCAGAGAAGACAATACACACTGTAAGAATGCTGGTCGCAACACACACACACACACACAGGTAAGACTAGAGTAACTGGGGTCTCAGAGCTATGGCAAAGGAAAGACAAATTGCTCTTACCTTATTCTTAATAGATAGAAGAATAGAGAAGAATAGTGGGTTACTCCATGGACTTATAAAACAAGAAAATAATAATTATAATTACACATTTCAAGTCAAAAGATTGATATGCTAGGTGGGTCTCTCTCATCACTTTTTCTTTATCAAGCATACAGTAGTATTAAAATATTCAATGGTAAACTCTAGTTACAAAGAAACCAATGATGGAATTATTATAATTAAGGAAATGTATATTATTCTATACAGTAGAGCTCAGTAATATTTAGCATCATTTCCCTCTTACTATAAGGATTCAAAAGTAATTGCAGATAGTAAAAACTGTATAGCAAGAACCTTATTAGCTTCTCCTCTATAATACAGTACACTATATAATTAATAATAAAAAGCAAGACAAATACTGTACTGTATAAAGTGTTGAATAATATAGTTTAGATTCCAGAAAAAGAGTTCTACCCAATGCTTGGCTAGCACTCTGCTCATCAAAATTATAGCCATTAAAAAAGTAAATAATTTTGTTCAATCTACAGCAATTTAATATGCAAATAAAGAAAAACAAATGTAACCAAGCTAGTGTTTGGGTGCTAGTCAGTTACCAACAGAAAGCTCAGCAAAGCTTCATATCTACCCGTTCCCCCCCTTATTTTGTGTTTAAATGGGATAACACTAATATTTTGTGACACTATTGATTGTATAATATTTTAACATCGGAAATATACACAGGTTAATTTTTACTTTCAATTGAATGTGTAAAAAGTTAAAATATAATAATAATACAAAACACTGAATAAGCAATTTTATCACCCTTACTAGTTAAAAGTTAGATTGACCAGAATATAAGCAAACTGTTGTAGCAGAAACTATAAATACTAGTAATACATTTAATTAATCGTTAAAGAGCAGTGATTCATGGGGGTAAAGTGGTCATCATTAAACGATGACTTAAACTTATAATTGTCTATATACATTTTATACCAATGAAGCTAATATGGATGTCTATATGGATGTAGTGGAATTTACTATGGCCCATCAAAAAATCCCCTAGTTGTTTCACGATTGCTTACTATGCAAATGTGGTTATCATCACAAACATTACTATGCCAATGCTATAACCATCGTGGTATAAAATTCAATTATAATTACATAAGTATATAGTACTTATTATGTTCACATTGTTTTCACAACTCCATATGGTTGTAATGAACTATACAAGGTCAACCAATCATCAGTTTAACACAATAAAACAGGAACTGCGGAAGGCTATTGGCCCATATAAAGCAGCTCCTATTAATATCTGCCTAAACGTGTTCATATATACTCATATATACAAAGTATACTGAATATATGAATGAGTTTGGGTAATTACTTGAGTGTAATTACACAAGTGTAGTTACGGATGAGAGCTACACTCGTGGTGTTTCGTCTTCCCAGCACTCTGTCATATAATGCTTTGAATTTACTGACAGTTTTGGCCTCTACCACCACCTCACCTAACTTGTTCCAACAGTCTACCACTCTGTTTGCAAAAGAAATATACAGTGGGTTGGGCCTGGTGACCCTGAGGACTCCGGCGGTCATCCTCACAACCTGGCCATGACTTCCTAAATAAGAGGAATATATATATATATGCCAATGATATATAGATTACACATATATATATATCTACCCTCATTGCAAAGCAAACAATGTGAGTGGATATAAATATGAGCTGGCTCATAAGCCAATAGGCCTTCTGTAGTTTCCTCAATTCTTATTATACATACATTCATCTATTACTTATTCCTCACAGATAATATAGTGAATGAACAAATGAAAGTCAAAATGATCATATAAACATCCAAAGTTAACACTGAGGTCTGGCACACGCTACTGTCTTGCTAACATTGGGTTGCCAACCCACCCATCTTGTACAGCTTACAAAGCCAGTAACAATGTGGACATTTATTTCTACTTTTCTGTACATTTTACATCAACTTAATTCATTCTATAAGGATTTTTTTTTCTTTTTCATGTGCAGACATGCATGTATTTAAAAAGCTGCCTATCCTCCTGTATTGCAGGTAATAATAACGATGAGGACCATAGTACACATAACGACCTACAACGAAATTAGAGTGAAATCTGAACTCTTGAGTTGGACAAATTGGAAAATTATTTTTTACTTGTGTTGCTTTGACCAACTAAACCTAACCTTCCTAGGCCTAATACATAATATCTGAGGCCTAATATAGAACATGTGTGTGTGCTATACTAGACCTTGGAGTATTTAAGTTTGTTTTTCAGCTTCGTTTATTTTAAAAGAATTTCTTACTAGTCAGTATACTACAATCTAAAAGCTAAGCATGTACGAGTTCGTGACTACTGACAACTGTCACAATAGGTACTATCTAAACAGGAGGATGAGTTTTTAAAAAAACCACATGTTAGGGGTTAAAGATATAAAGTACTATACAACTCTACACAAGACACCTGTTTACAGATTCGAGTAGTTTTGGGTAACAACTGTCATCCTACCATCTTTATAACTGAACTTTTGACAGGAACTGGTACTGTAATGAGGAAGAGCGATTTGCACGACATACAATTAGAGCTTTTGGAGATACTAGATCAACCCAGACCAAGAGAAAAACTTCCAGAAATGTAGTGTGCCACAATGCAAGCAACTGCATGGAGAACACTGGTAACCCTGACACATCCTATGCATGCATGCATTCCCCACAGTCCCAACTGCTTGTTACACTCATTCACTACCAGTTGGCAGCCTCAGCTATCCACCTAGTCAGGTTAATGGTGGTGGTGCATGAACAACAGTTCCTAGTGCCCTGTCCACCCTTCATGGCTTCTATAAAAAATAATGCCAGCTTTTCATATTTTTGCTTCTGCACTGATGCACTACCTCTCCCACATATACATCAAATGGTATTCTATTTTTGCCCTCATTAATAACCATTACCCATTTCCCATTTTCATGGGTTTTCAATGTGCCAATCCAAAGAAAAAAAGCAACACTATAGTGAAAGGCTATAAGACGAAAAGAGTAACATCAGCAGCATTTGTAAAACTAAGACAAATATGGCTTTCAAAACCCTAAACAAGGAATGCTTCAGAATACAGTCCTGTATATGACATGTCAGGCTAGTCCTACAATATATATCGCTAGCATTAAACTCATACCTAGTAAAGTACCAGAAGATAATTTTTAAATTTCAAAGATACATCACGAGATAAATACCAGATATAATAGACAAACTATTAAAATGGGCCAAGAGTACTAAATCTAAAGACATTACAAGAAGGTAGGACAAGAGGCAATATGATCATAATATACAAGATACTAAGTGGAACAAAGTGAATAGAAACAGTCTTTTCAAGGAGAGGGACAAGAGAAGGGGGCACTGGTGGAAGAATGAAACACTTCCAAGTCAGAGATATACAAGAAAATGCTCGTACAGTAGTGGAATTCAAACGCTCATGCTACTAGCCCTTAACATTTCTTTATAAATGTGGAGTTCCAGGAGGCTGTACCTGTAGCCGAGAGCATGGACATGTTGTCAACTTTTCAAAATCTGCAGCAGTTGTGTTAATCTCAGTATGTCGTCAAGTGTTTGCTTTTATGTCGACAAGAATCCTATGAATTTGAACTGCATTGAGCTATCTATGTGTCATTTTTACAAAGAATATGATGGGAGAATTAAAGATTTCACTGTGAAACACTCAAGAAAATCACTACAATGAAATCCACAAAATTTACCTGCCTCAATTTAGGCCACCTTTCAATATTGCACCCTGTAAATCCTCTGAGCTTGTCACAATTAGATAAATAGTGCAGCAAGTAAATTCTACAGACAGTATAATAAAAATTAAGCATCTGGTCAAATGTAGGAATGGAACTATACAGGTTAAATAGGGCCAAGTAGCTAAACAGTCAAACTTAAGATGCAACTTTTAAGACAACATTCTAGTCATAAACTATGTCTAATGATTAAGACATTCTATGGAAATAAGCTGCTGGAATTATTTCTACTTTCTTAAATCCCCTCCACAGTCAAATACTCAATATGAGACCACCATTTTTTATTGTTAATTTGCTTTGCAAATTCTAAAGTACTGTACTGTAATATACTTCATCAATGTCAAATATGAAAGGACAACTTCCATCTCTATCTTTACTCTTAATTTAAGAGAAATCTAAATTTATGAAAGAAAATATTAACTGCTTAATGGATCTACACATCAACAATCCCAAAACAACTTTAAATCAAGTACTGTAACTTCAAACTTACCTTAATAAGCCGTGCAAGGCCAAAGTCGGCAATCTTGACTATATTGTTATCTCCTACCAAGACATTTCTTGCAGCCAAGTCACGATGGATATAGTTTTGTGATTCTAAGTATGCCATTCCTGCTGCAATTTGAGCTGCCATGTCAATAAGGTTGTTCAACTTCAAGCCTCTTCCCTTACCTGTGGAGTATTGCATTTTACAGACCTAGTTAGAAATTGATTAAGTTTTTAATGAAACCTATTGTTGATGTATATGCAAGTTTCATACAACAGGATACATCTTAAATCAGCAAGCTGTCACCTTTTATAATACAAAATGTAATCACACCAATTATTTTATCCCATTTTCATTCAACATAAAGGGAAGTGAAAGGCCAAAGCCTCACAGAAAACATAAAAATCTGATTTTTTTAAATACTGGTATAAATTCAGGATGGAAACTTTTCCCTACATCTACGAAGCAAGCTTATTAAATATTTTATAGATCAAATTTATAGAGCAACAAAACTAGCATCTCTAAGTCTTCTCACCGCAAACAATTTCTGTGATAATTACAGTCTTTCTCAAATTACTGGATTCGAGTTGGATGTACACATATACAAGACAACACAAACATTTCATTCCAACATTTTGCCCACCATGCAAGACATTTTCCCCAGTAGCCACACCTCATAACAAAGGTAAGTGTAAATGCTTGGCAACAAGTCCTACCATATTAAAACATTTAAATACATATTGATATGATGACCAAACCACACATCAGAAGATGGAGAAACGATAACATTTTAGTCCGTCCTGGAACATTATCACACTCGACTTTATAACGATCCAAGATAGAACGAAATGTCGTCTTTTCTCCATCTTCTGATGGCTGAAGATATGATGACCAAACCACACATGTTATTGTGACTCTTCATCTACACTTTGATATTGTAGGTTATTTTATGCTGGAAATTTAACTGCTGCAGTGTGGCCCAACTTATCCTCTATCAAATAACAATTAAAATAAGTTTTTATTACCAATATCAAGACTAATAAATGCCTAAAACTTATCTATATGGGATGGGCATTCCTGCTACCTGTGCAGGTAAAAATTGTCAGCAGAGATGAATCATATAGATGCAAATGGAATGGTTAAGAAATTAAACTTGGTAGTTTTGATGTTGGATGATATTTGAGCCAGAGAATCAATTACAGAGGAACCTCAGTTAACGAATTAAATCTGTCTGTTTCGGTACCGAGCTCGTCATGTGAAACGCTCGTCTTGCAAAACAACAACACTGTCGTCGGAGGTGTCCGAGAACCAGTGGGAACACTAGGAAGTACAACGTTTTATTGTTAACCAAGCGGAAGCTAGTCATTTGAGGCAAATTTTCTGCGAGTGACTCGTTCGTTACCCGAAATGCTCGTAGACGGGGCTGCTCGTCACCCGCGGTTCCTCTGTACTGCTACACCTCGAGCGATACTAAAACATGTCATCAGTTCTCTTACTGCTTTGCCTAATTACTCCTAAACTAATAAAAACAGGATCACTTATGTTATCTAATATCTAGGAAAAGTACTTTTCTTCTATCTCATATACTGTACTCAGAAGCCATATTTACTTGACACAAACAGCACACAAATTGCCAACACAAAGCAACTGGGGACCAAGAAGAGCAATGCTAAAAGTGAAGATAAAAATGCATACATACCTTGGAGGTATTCTAGTAATGATCCATTCTTCATAAGCTCAGTTATAATATAGATGGGTTCCTCAAGAGTACACACAGCATACAACTGAATCAGCTTCTGATGTCGTAGTTTCTTCATTATTTGTGCCTCGGCAAGGAAGTCCTTTGGATCCATCGTACCTTGAGAAGTAAATCTAATTAGAAGACTGGAACAGTGCTGTAACTCGCCACCTGGCCTACACACACACACACAATCAATCAACAAACATGTACACCTTCACAAACCCATCAACCTCAGAGCACAGCATACAGAATTATAAGGTAAGAGATCGAGTCATTTTATATATCCAGAATCAAAAGTACTGTACTACCATTACCAACTGTAGAGCAACAAAAGAGGTAAGTGCTACTTTGGCATTTCAAGGCTATGTACATTTTTCTTGAGTGTCATGTTTCAATAAGTTTTACTAATGTCCTATTAATTTGTATATATTAATTTTCTTATAACATTTGACAAAGCATTTTATCTTAGTGTTGACAATCAGATTTTCTACTTCCAGAGAATCCTGTCTTTTTTTCAAGCAACAAGGCAACCCAACTCCAAGTCCCTCCTGGAATAATACTGTACCTAGGTTGCTCCCAGTCAACACCCTCATTTGGGTTGGGAAGGAAATAGGCCAAACATTTTTTTTTTTTTTTTTTGCAGGGATATTCCTGCATTTAAAGGAATGCCTGCTGCCCTAGTATACAAGTATATGTATGTAAGAGAGGGTAGAGAGGTGAGAGGAGTAGAGGGGAAAAATTAGGAGAGAAGGCAGAGAGGGTATGAGAGGTGAGAAGGGAAAAGGAGACCCAGGCACAGTACAATACAATGCCAAAAGATTAACATGGTATTATACTTTAAAAAACATAAATATTTATAAGTTTTCCTTGCAAATTAGAACAGTTATTTTAACTTCAATATACACTTCTGGAGATACAGTACTGTACACTAAAAAATTAAAAAAGCAGTGCAGTTAATGTTCTTAACACTGGGGATGGGATCACGACAAAAACCAATAGCACTAACTTTGATGAACTTGTTCGTTTGCAAATCAATTGTGCATATTCACTTTAAATGAAAGTGAAGTAGCAAAAATAATGCTCATAGCTAATGCTAGCTTGACAATTTACATGCACCACAACCAAATTTCCCCATTCAACCTATCCTCAATCTAATTCCTCAGTATATCTATGAGACAACCACACTACAATAGTGGCTTTAGCTTAAAATACCATAAAAAGTTTTGACAACAAACTCTTCGAGGCTAAAGAGCATCAGTCTCACTACTTTGGATGGGTTTAAATTACCTTTATATAAGCCAAACACTGCACATATTCTAAGACCTTGAAAAGCTTACCTGGTTTAAGTGTCTTGATAGCAACTGGTGTGGTATTGTTCCAGAGGCCTTCCCACACTTCCCCAAATTGGCCATGGCCTAATTTGCGCACAAACTTCAGAGATGATCTATCTATCTCCCATTGGTCTCGAGTATTGTGCGAGAGTCCAGCAGTCACTGGCTTTTCAATCTAGAAGTACCAATAATTATTCTAAACAATTAGAAAGAAAAATGGGGATCAAAGACTTCCATAAAATGTTCATGTACTTTATCATTCTATTATTTGAATTCAGTACTCGCATAAAAAATTATTTTCAAGATAGCAAACTAAACGTACATCACATACAGTGGAAAGCAAAACATGTGCCTACAGCCTCAAACTGGGCTTTCTTGGCTTTTTTCTTAAATCTTTTCACTTGTCTCGAAGAAATAAGTTTTCATTCAATTAAAAAGCTACAAGCTACATTTCTTTCCATAACATTATACAAACTATGTATACACTTCTCTAATATATTAACATGTGTTGTAAATGATGTAACATCATTTACTGCATATAATTTTACATTGTTTTCTGTTATACAACCCTTCTAGAAGTAGTTCTACACTCACACTTATAATAGCTACTTGTCAAAGTTACTTTACCACCAACAGGATTGGGGTGAAACAGGAGCACTAAGTCACAATAAATCGTAAACAATAATCATAACCAACTCACAATGCAAAACATATATCAAAGTTTAATCATAAACAAGCCATTTGTAATCCATAATTCACATGCTTTAGCATTACCATTACTTAGTTTTCATTTATATACTAAATTAGACAGTCAACTGAGAACAGTCCAAAACAGAACACAGTCAGTAAAGTGTCAACGCCACACCGTCAGTAAAGTGTCAATGCCACACCGTCAGTAGAGTGTCAACGACAAGGTGCATCACTTAAAAGCTTAAGCAGTGAGTAGTCTACAAAGGTTTGCGCATCACTTATCTAATGAAAAATGAAGACAAATGTATGACTAAAGTTAGAGATTAGTAGAGATGCTAGAGCTCTTACGTTGTTAGTTAAACCAAAAATGTTAAAATTGCCAACACAGAGGCAAGAGCAGATCTGCTTATCACTTTTTATGAAAAATATTAAGACCACATATACTGTTAAGGCACCCGTTATTAACATGTTAAGGACTGATGTTAAAATGGTGGTGCATTTTCACGTGCATGCCACGGGTCTAGAAATCCAACGGTAAAAATCCATTCCAGTGGGGCTTACTGCAAGCTATCTTTACACTCACTAGTATCATGTAACAAATTAATATATCATTAACAAAAACCATCAAGAGAATTCAAGAATCCTTTTATGTAGCCTCACAAAACAAACACCCACACTACTCATTTCCAATTATCCCAACAAACTTGAGCATGGTTTATACCAAGTACTCATTAATATTTATTAAATTATGAAACTAGAGAGTTCATAACACTTAGCAAAGCCCAAATCAACTATGATACTGTATATACTGCATGCATGAATATACAGAATATGAATGCATGTTGAAGATATGGATAGAATAAGACTTCATGTGCATGGGAACATATGAATGATCAATTTCATTCACCTTGGGCACTAGACCCCTTGAACACCTGACCTTTAACCTGTGTGGTGCACACACTATCAAGTGTAGTATTGTGTAACTTTAAAAGGGATGGATCCCAAGGCAGCTAACTGCTACCCAATGCTTGCCATCCCTGTGGCTACCACTCAAACAAGTTCCATATAGTAGCAGTTTGCTGCCTTGGGATCCATCCTTTTTAAAGTTACACAATACTACACTTGATAGTGTGCGCACCACACAGGCTAGAGGCCGGATGTTCAAGGTGTCTAGTGCCCAAGGTGAATGAAATGTTACATCCACGGTAGTGTAGTTTACAGTTTATATAAATGTTCATTCATTCATTTAACACTATACATGAGTCACTTTACCTCTGGTTTACACCACAGCTGTAGAAAGTAGTCTCAAATATTTGTAGCCCTCTTTTCCTATAATAAATTTCCATTTCCTCCTGGTTGGTACCTCCCCACCACCACACAAGATAAACAGGCATACAGGAAAGGCAGACTGATTAAATAAACGGCAGGAGCCACAGATGAAACAATATAATAAAATGAAACTAATACAGTATAAGAAGAGACCAAACCCATAAAGCTCGGAACTATTAACAAGGCCAAAACCGGCACACAGTAATGAGAAGAGATACAAGATATTTTGAGAAAGGGACAACAGACAACTGCATGACAAAATGAGGCCTAATCTATTAACAATATACACTAAGTGAAGGAAAACATCAAGAGAATTAGAGAAGGCAATAGAGCTCTGGTAACAAAAGAAGAAATGTATGAAACAATGAATGAACAGTTCCTAATTGTGTTCACACAAGGTGAGCAGTTCATACCAACAAACGCCACAAATTTTAAAGCAGATTACCTTAACCCCAGAACTGCACAAACATTACACGAGTCATTCCTGTGTACACAAGAAAAACATTTAACAAAATTCTTTTGTCCTCCTATATTGATAAAATGTCTACCCTGATCGGCAAAAAATTACTTAGTCATGTCAATTACTTTGGTGTAGTGAAACAATGAAATCCCTATTGTCATAAAATCTAATTTGCTGGCAAAGCAGACCAAGCCTGATCAACCCCCATCCCCAATAGATATGGTAGGCATAGATATATTCATGTTACTAATATGCACACTATATTATGTAATTAAAACAATAAAACATAATATGTTTACCATTATCATACTGTATAAACAGTTATATATAACAATCTACATTTTTATGCACGTTTATGAACCACTAAGAAGTTCTGGAGGATGCAATAATCTAGGAACCGGTTGTTCAAGCACAGCTTAGCCCACACACTCAGCAGTTTTAATATTCTGTAACTTTTATCTTTTCCCTGTGTTCTTGCAGACAATGTACTCAAGTTGGGCATTGGCACAATCTCCAACATGAGATAGTGATGCAAGGTAGTGTATCAGCATTGTTTTTATAGAGTTTTTCCATAGAGTTTTGTAGGGCAAGATGCTCTACAAATGCTCATGCATGACAAAAAAAAAAAAAAAAATTATAAAAATTAAATGCATGGAGTATCTTAAAAGGAACAAAACAGACAGTTTGGCTTTAAGATGGGAAGATTATATGAAATCAATTTATAGTACGTATATGGGAGCTTAGTTCTCCTAAAAAAGTCAAGCCATTGTAATTTTTCCAATCACCACACATCCGTTAACTTCTGTAATCGATACCATTTTGGTATCGCCACCATATCCCTGCTTTTTTTTCTTTCTTTCTTCTCTCTCTTGCTGTCTTTACTTCCTAACTACAACAATCTACCACTCCCTCAACTACTAAACTATCTACCTACCTTATCTAGTCTCACCCTCACTATTATGTCCCTCTTTCCACCTGTTCTTTCTCTTCCCAAGTGAGCATGGAGAGGAAAATAGCCAAGAGGTATGAACTGCAAATTGGTGCATGGGTGGGGAGGAGTTATTATGCAGAGGGTTGTATTAGGGAAGAAAGTGATCAAGAGATGCTTTAGTGGCACACCGCAACTAGAGAGAATTTTGAATCTAGCCTGTGATAGGGTCATGAAGGAAAAGAGGGAGAAAATGGCCATGAAAAGACCAAGCAGACAGAGAAGTCTTTTTCCAGGTGAGGGACAATATAAAGATGAGGCAGAGGTGGAAATTGGAAACAAATAAGCCAGCAAAATATAAGAAAATACTCATATACAAAGAATAGTAAACGAACAAGTGGAATGAACTTAAATCCAAGATGGTGGAAACAACCACCAATGACTTCTTTAAGACTTATGCACAAAAAAAAAAAAAAAATATGAAAATGGCGAGGCATAACTACACCAGCTACAACAGCTCCAGGGCTGTTAGGGCTAGATCTAGATTTCACTCCCTAAAGACAACTAGATAAGCACTCGCTCATATACACTGCAATTCATAACAATTTAATATTTAATGCAAAAAATTATTGGCCTTTATTCCACTACTGATAACAATTATCATCCCAATTCTATTTATTTAACTGTTACCCATATGTAAAAACTATTTACATCTGTTAAGTGCTGTGCAGTATATGCTATTAAGATAACAAAATTATGCTTGGGTCGGAACCCCGCTAACGACAAGGATGAACTACTGTATTTTTCTTAGTGAAATTATATGTCAATCTACCCCGTACTGTACCATACAAGAACAAAATTAAGCAAAATTTGCAGTGGAACTTCAACTGCAGGAAACCATCCCACATGACAACCAACACCGGAATTCTTATCAATTGCCAGTAAATTGATCAATAATGACAAGAAATATAACAACTGGGGAAGAATGAGCACTTCAAGTCTCACTGTTCATTAATTCATGCTTCACTAATATGTGCTTTTCACACCCAAACTCAGTCATCACATATTAATTGCTAGCATCTAATATTATGTGCATTCTTATCCACAGAGGGACCATGCAATTAACAAGAAAAATCAATTTCTGTCAACTTACAGCCTTTGTTCCGGTGACGTTAGGAGATAGAGTTGAAAGAGAGGAAAGGTTTTAGAAAATACTGTATTACGAATTACTACACTATTACTAATACTGGCACTCCAGAAGCAATTTCTGGGAAACAATATTGTCAAATAAAAAGGGGTAACTTGCATTAAAGATGCATTTCATTAGATTGTCAAATAAAAAGGGGTAACTTGCATTAAAGATGCATTTCATTAGAAACAAAAAATATAAAGGGACTTTGTAGCATGGGATACAGTATTTAGAAATAAAACTGAATTGGAAATTATTAATAAAGTACCAATTTTTGCTAGAGATTAAAGAAATAATAATATAAATACACAAAAATTAGGCACAGTACCAAGCAACATTTGGCAAAATAAATGAACCCAAATAGTATAATAAAATTAATGCATTAAAAGTTTAACAAAAATCTGAAATTCGTGAACGTTACCAGTATGAATCAAACTTAATAAGAGACTGGCATTACATTTCAAATAAATGGAATCCATAGGCGATTTTAACCATTAATAAAACAAAATAAAATTGCAATTTTCCCCTCGAGTCCATTTGTCGATAAATACAGTCTTGCCAACACATTTCAGAGCCAAGAGAAAACCAGTAGTAATGAAGTGATGTTTGATAGTTAAATCAATAACAGCCAGATGTTTTTAGAACTTATGTCAAATCTGGAATCATTTTGTGTGTAAGGACTTTGGTAGCAAAACATTTGAGGATCAATTTGCACGTACAATACCATCATTAAAATATATACGAATCATCTTGCTCTCTGAACAAAATAAACACAATACTGCTGATATTAATATATGCAGTAATATGCCAAGCATCATACACCTCAAGCCCTAGACAGCCTAAATAACCCAAATTGGAATTTTGGGGATATTCTTTTTTTCCTTTTGGCTTTCTCTATATCATTATTTCTAATGAGAAAAAATAGAACTGTTATTATATAAAAGAAGGCTAGAGAATTTTTTTTAAGGCCATATGCATTCCAAATGAAAGAAATATAAAGAATACAACAGATAAGCATCCTTACCTGGTATTTTATGTATTTTACTCACAAATTATTATGAAAAATTAATCTTGCCTTACCTTTCATAGAGGCTCGACTTAAGACACTGAATTTCTTCCACTTTTCACTTTATTTATGGCGAAATAACATGGATAGGATTGTTTGGTCAGGCAATGTTAAGAGTATTTTTATCTTATACCAGAAGGCAAGGATACTTCCTGGTTCATGTATATGGAGAACTGGATATTTCTCTTCAGGTAAGCCCAAGAAACCATTAAAATGAGACAGAAATTAGATGCCCCACTGTACGTCCTTTTATCTTAAGCATGTACATTTGAACGCAGTAAATATAAAATTGCTGGGAATATCATGCACCAAGTGATAAGCTACTAATTTTTTGACCAATTTACCCCAATACCCACCCAACTCCCACAAGAAATTTCCTCATTTACTCCCTCAACAGAAAGCAAGTTGTTGCATGGAACATTTTACCCTGGAATCCTTTTGAGTGTTCCTAGCCTGTTTTGTCATGTGAGAGAGCTGCTACTGACAACCAGTGACCCTACAGTTTAAAGGTACATACCATCACTTCAACTCCTCTGATAAAAATGGTCTAGATAACATCTTTTAAGAGCAATGAGCAAAAAAAAAAAAAAACAAACAATAAAAAATAAATAAAAAATTAAAAAAATCTAATTTTACATGATAATCACAAACTCATCCCTGAACCAAAATATACATAGTACTGAACAACAAAGTTTTGCAACTCTGAATAATTCATCACAATTATCTATAGTAGTAGTTGAAGACTTGACTATCTTGAATTACAACCTACTTATCTTATGAAAATTGTTCAGGAGATATTTCTTCAACTAATTTTTCTTCTCTTGCTAATTACTTAGTGCGACTGTTCCACCCACATTTTTTGTATCCAATATTGAATCGTCTGTATCCCCTATGATACTATCCCACCTGTGCTTCCACTTTAGAAATGTAATCGAGAATAAAATACTCTTCACATACACTATATAGAATGCAGGCAAGAGGTTATAACAGACAGTACAAGTGGCACCCCTAACTGTCTGACTTCTGACAATATGAATTTAATCCCACACTACACACAAATCAAACTCCTTTTACCAACTCCTGTCAAACTAATTCCACTAAAAGCAATACTGGAGTCAATAAAGATACTCTTATAGTTGACCAGACCAGTGTGGTCTGGTCAACATTCTTCAGCCACGTTATTGTGACTCATCGCCTGCATACTCTTATAGCATTAATCACCTGCCTCTCAACTTTCAAAACCAACTCGCATCCAACTTCCTTTGAACAGTTATTTTTTAAAGCCACTATCTATATTGAGGTAGACAGTGTATTCAAAAAGGAATAGTCTACACTGTATTATCCTAAAGATGAAGTAAACCCATTATTATTCTAAATCACATGTGCACTGCCTGGAAATCTTTAACTGAAGAGCAATGTCAAAAGTTGAGGCATCACAACCAACCTGGATACAAGGCTTTCTGAGGTTGACACAGAGACCATCTGCATCTTTACTGTAATGTTCAACAAGTTCTTGCAAAGTTCTGAAGGTGGTCCGCCGGGCAATAAAGAATCCTCCTTCATCTAGCTGCCGTATCCGGTAATGTTTAACAGTGTCGCCATCTCGTACTGTGAATGGGAAAAGTACAAGATGAAGTTTACCATACAAGTACAGTAGAATTAAGAGTACACTACACAATGCGTTGCAATCAATTTTAAATAAAATGGCTTTGAGCACAAATACATTATTAGATACAAACTCTTAAATGTATAAATATACTCAACAAGAAAACACCAAAAGAGAACACATCCTTGTAAAGCTGACGGAAAAATTAATAATAATAATAAATACGTATCTGCATAAAATAAAGAATTATTTAATAAAAATTTAAAACGTTCATTTAGAGTCATCATGGCTTCGTCCTCTTACCAGATAATGAATAATCATTTCTTCTGCTTTCAGAATCACGTATCAAGAAGGCGCCATGTTCATTTTCAGGCAACAATAACTTTTTCTCTGCCTCTATTCTTTTGATCTTCCCAAAATACCATCTGAAAAATAACATGGGGAAATAAATTAACACACTGTAAATTACTGTACACTGCGACCTCCAAATTTCAAAGCTCTATACAATGAATCTTTAAACAAGCACCAATACCACCACCTGGATCACCTCTCCAAAATCCACATTTGTTTGAGAAAAATCAAATTTCAAAATCTGGGCTAGCACATTACTTCCAGATCTCATTTTTTTGTTCTTTGTATTTTTATAGTTCAGCAAAGGTTAAAGTTTGACCCAGAGGTGTGAGAAATTTTATTTTGAAAATAATTATTTGTCTTATATAAAGCGAATGAATGAACCATGCACTAGGACCAAAGAAACAGAACCCCCAGCCGCTGGAGAACAGCTTGAGCCTCCCCAACCCTACAGAGCTGGAGGCGAGGACCAACAAAAACACAGTTTTGAGAAAAAGTTATCATGGGCCAAAGGAAAAACTGTCAATTGTGGCAAGGAAAGACCAAAAGGTGGCCAAGAGACCAGGATGGGTCTGGGGGAGCATTAGCAGGCAGGAGGTGAAAAATGCACGAGAGAACTTACGGAACAGTGCTAAGGAGGCATCACCACTGAACGTAACAGTGGAGGCTCTGCCAATGCCAAATGATAAAGAGGCAACAGTATGGCGATTGCATGAGTATGCACGAGATGCCAATTGAGAAATAACCAAGGCAAAAAGTATAGGATGACCCTGACCAAAACAGAAGAAAAATACAGAAGAGACATACAGTAGCTGCAAAACAAGCCCAAGGAAATCTCATCCTGGTGCTTGTTGCAAAACCAACAACCCAGCCACCTACTCTATACAAATGGTGAGAGATATGCATCAAAAACTCCAAACGAACAGAACACAGAAGGCATAACCAGTGAATACATCATCGAGCCTATCTACTGAAATAGGTGGAAATGTGGGAAAAAGTTCAGATATCAAGCAAGAAGTACCAACCATGCAATCTGGCTATACTGTATATTATAAATACATAAACTTTTCTTCCATTTCCTCATCCATTCTCTTAACTCTCATTATCTATTCTCAAATGTTCACATACTCTATTATCAACTGGTATACATTATTTTTGTTCATAACCATTGACCACAATGTACATACTATTCACACACTGATCCCATCTTAAAAAATACCCTTTGGCTATTGCTCATCCATTCAAATAAAATTATATGATAAAGGCTTGAAATTTTATATCTTGCTCTGTTATGAACCCATGCACATCTTACCTGGAAATGAGATCCATGTAATATACAAATATTTGTTATGGTATTACCCATTATAGTTTGAAAAGTGATTCCACCAACTACTATTTCTAGGCTACAATACAACTTCTCGATTCTCACTAAGCACAATTACTCGGGCACTTACGGTTCAGCTTCTATACTCTTTAGCTTAGCCACATAGTTGGAGGGAATGTACCCATCCTGTTTCGTGGCTTTTGATCTTGCAAACCACCAATCCCCTTGTGTATCATTAAGAATTTCTAAATGTTCACCCTTGCGGAAACTCAAGTCCTCATCAGTTCTAGCATCATAGTCATAGAGTGCCACAAATATTTTCGATGTAGCAGCAGTTCCCTCAGGGTCTGGTAGCGAGGGTAAGGTTGGGTTTAGGCCATTCATAGGCCGGCCACCAAGGGCCTGATTGTCTGTGGTACCCCGTGTTGCACCACTAGGGTCACTGATAGTGGGGCCGGTCAGCGGTGGCGACTGAACCTGGAAAGAAAATAAATTGTATTTGTCTTATGTTTATACTACATTATATTATCATAACATAGGTGACCTGTACAAATGAATTGTTGTCATTATTGCTACTACAGCACAGTACTATAACCTAGTTTCCATATTTGTAAGATGGTGGCATAACATTCTTAAAAAAAAAAATTTGTCAAGCTATGGGGACATGTCAAAACAGATTGATCTATTCATCATATATGCTACACAACAATTATTATTGCAGTATCACAATAGCAAGAAATGACACTGATGAGTGCTACAGACTGCAATCTTCAATGAGGCTTCCAGGGGTTGAGGTAGAATAGTCACTGGAAGAAAGGTGGCAAATGCAATGAGACCTGTCTCAAGGTATTGGAGATAACAGCCACAGTGCAAGGGAGCGAAGGCTAAATACTGTACCGATACCAAAATACTGATGCATTATACAACTACTTTTCAGATTTTATCAAATATGATATAATCAGCAATTGCAAACCACACCAGCTGGCATTTCATTCAGTGCCATATTACCTTAATGTTAAATTGTTATACTGTACTGTACTTTTAAATCTCGGCCTTGGGTCGGCTGTCCTGGCCATTGCCTGATCAATTAGAATATTGCTGCTTGAATATTGCTTTGAATAAATACTGTAGTGAAATTAATTTACTGTAAATACTATTTATAAGGGTTTTGCATTTTATGAACCTGCTTTATAGGCCTAAATGCCTCCAGAGGCATTCACATTACTCCAGTTCATGACTAATTCTACAGCATTAAGAAAGTAAACTGGAACCAATCTTTTCCTGGACACAACATAATTCTACACACTGTCAAGGAATTGTTGACCAATTAGCAGCCACCTCATTAACTCTGCTAGAGGAATGGATTGTGCTACAGTAGAGTTAGGATATGCACAAAAATTATTGCACAGTATAAATGCTGTACACAAACCTAGTCAAATATTCTTAAAGAACAACAAACTTAAACCTAGTAAAAATGTAATTTACTCTGTCTTCATCTAAGCTAGATGACAGATTAATCATTAACTGTAAAAATGCTTTAAATCTCGTTATGTATCAACTGGTACTATGTGAACACGAGCGAGTGCACGAACCTACCAACTGCCCACCAAGCAACAAAACAACTCTGAAATCATGCTATGTTTCTCAATCACCTTATGCAAAGCCAATAACCTCCTCCACCAAATATATATTCCACCACTAACAATTGTATTCAATACATGCAATTCATCTGCCACCAAATCAATTATTCTAATGTTTAAACAAGTTAAAAGGTTTAGGATACTCTTTAGGATATCCTAAAGGTTTAGGATACTTTAGAGTATGTTATCATACTCTAAGGTGACACGATAAATTTCTCATTCCAAATATTTATAAATTAAATAACCAAACAGATGGAGCTTAAAGCTCCATTCAAGTAATTATCAAAAGAAGGCACCAAGCCGGGAAGACAATGTAGCAAAGGTGCTAAATATCACATAGGATGCCAATACAAGAAAAAAACACACAAGGCGAGCGATATCAAAGGAATCAGATCCACCAAGTATTTTTTTTAGGGACAGAAGGAAAGCAAGGCATACAATCATCATGAAAATTAGGACATTCCACAAGGAGGTGCACAACTGTAAGTGGGACAATGCAGTTTGGACAGTAAAGAGCAGGGCTGCATTCCATTAAATGTCCATGAGTTAGGCATGTATGGCAAATATGTAACCTAGCACAAAGTAATTTCCCATTGTCTATTACATTGGTAGGAGGAAGACCTGGGGTCTATGTTACCTTTAAGAGTGTGCAGTTTGTTACCTGTAACCTCAGACCAGCGACCCTGCCAGTAATGCCTGCATTGTGGAATGAATCAGAAAAAGTCTGAATAAGGAATGCCTTTTTTGGAAATAGGACAAGTATGAAAAGCCTCCTTAGCAAAAGTGCCTGCACGTTCATTTAAGGTAATACCAATATTGTTGGGAACCCAGCAAAACTCGACTGTCTTAAATCTGCTAGAGATAGGAAATGGTCAATACTGTATTGAACTTCGACTACCACAGGATACATAGGATTAAATGACCCCAGGGCCATGAAGTCACTGCAGGAGTCAACCACAATGACAAAAGAATGTTGACATTGGAAAAGCAGTTGAAGAAATGCATACAAGACTGCACAAAGTTCAGCTGTAACCACGACACCATTTTCTGGTGGGTCCTAAAGCTTGTCATGTAGTCAGCTTTAAGCCTAATATACCCCATCAGGCCCTTGCAAGTTATCACCACAGATCACAAGCAAAATGTGGTCAACTCATTATAGGCAATGGGAGTTTGGGAATACTAGATCAACTCAGGCCAAGAGGGAAACCATCAGAAAGGTAGTGTGCCCCAAAATAAGTACAGTACGTGCATTGAGAAACATTGGCAACTGTGGCAACTATGTAAGCACTCGTTACCTAGCTCCAACTACTAGTTAATTACACCCCCACATGACAGTCTTGGCAACCCAGGGCTCCAGCCAACTGACCATCCCATTCACTCACCTGGTGCCATCTTGACTGGAGTTCCTTGTGCTCCTTGGCTCTTCCCGACTTCAATTTCAGTTAAGTATTGGTAACTTTTTTTGAATTGTCATGCAGGGGCCTGTATTTCTGTTTATTCCAATTTTATTTTTTTAATACTAAAATTATTTTTAACCTTCTTTGGCATTTGGTGGGGAAGTTTTGTCTCTGCCACAGCCAACACTTCCCCCATGCTGCCCACACCTGACAAGGGTCACAGCCAGCACCCCCCCTGCCCACACCTGACAAGGGCCACAGCCAATACCCCCACCCCTGCCCACACCTGACAAGGGCCACAGCCAACACCCCACCCCTGCCCACACCTGACAAGGGCCACAGCCAACACCACCCCTGTCCTGCCCACACCTGACAAGGGCCACAGCCAACACCCCCCCACCCCTGTCCTGCCCACACCTGACAAGGGCCACAGCCAACACCCCCCCTCCCCTGCCCACACCTGACAAGGGCCACAGCCAACACCCCCCCCTCCCCTGCCCACACCTAACAAGGGCCACAGCCAACATCCCCCCCTGCCCACACCTGACAAGGGCCACAGCCAACACCACATCCCCCCCCTGCCCACACCTGACAAGCGCCACAGCCAACACCACATCCCCCCCCCCCCCCCTCTGCCCACACCAGACAAGGACCACAGCCAACATCCCCCCCCCTCTGCCCACACCTGACAAGGGCCACAGCCAACACCACACTGTAACTGCTGAAGCTGTTTTAGATAGGTGATTGTATGGAAGGCAGTGGGATATGTCCTTGTACAAAATATGCAGTGAGAGGGTAGTCGACCTGACTTTGGAGCAGGAAGGTCATATCCCCCGAGATTAAAGGGATTAGCGTTTAAGATTACAATATGGCTGGTCCTCTGTATTATTGCAACATATAATGAATATTTTTACAAAATACAGTACAGTAATAACTACTGTAATTTGATTTATGTATGTATGTTAGTTACATGTATGTTGAGTAAAAGATCAGGGTCTGTATACTTGCACAAAGTAACGTCAGTAGGGAAAGTACTAGTTCCTTGAGCGGCGTACGTGACCCGACTTGGGTCAAGGTTAGGCGCCCGACGTTCCACAGTTTTCAATATTATTTAATTCACAAAGTTCAAATTCGGATCACTAGCCAATATTGTAATTGGAAATAGCCTTTCCCCCAAGATGCCTGTACAAGTACTGTACAGTACTATCAGTTTATAAGAGTTCAACCATCTGGGTTGTTCAGAACATAGATTACTTGTTCAATTTAAACCCTGCTTAGTAAATTTAGTAACCAGGCGGAGTGATACTAGCCTAGGTCAGTCCTTAGCTGAGTACAGTTAAGACAGTGTGGTTTGCAGCAGCAACTGAAGAGGTCGACCATCTTGCCTCCCGAGACCAGAACTCCATCGGCTAGTTTCTAAGATTAAGGTAAAAGTTGCTCAGAGTTTGTACAGTGACTGTTCATGTTTGCCTCTTTTTTCTAGTTTTCAGTTTTAGGGAGTGTTCAGTTAGGGAGTGATTTTTATTAATTACTTTGATAGATTTGCATAATAAACCGAGTAAGAACTCTTGTATTCGAGTTTTTCCATTATATTATATACTTGTCCTGGCTATCTGTTCTCCACAAGTCTGTTCTCCCACAAGGGAGCCGGTCGGCTGAGCGGCCAGCACGCTGGACTTGTGATCCTGTGGACCCGTGTTCGATCCCGGGCGCCGGCGAGAAACAATGGGCAGAGTTTCTTTCACCCTATGCCCCTGTTACCTAGCAGTAAAATAGGTACCTGGGTGTTAGTCAGCTGTCACGGGCTGCTTCCTGGGGGTGGAGGCCTGGTCGAGGACCAGGCCACGGGGACACTAAAGCCCCAAAATCATCTCAAGATAACCTCAGGATATTGGATTAAGTAGATATCCGATTTTCAGGTCTAAGCCTAGTCAATATGAATACCTACTATATTCCCTTGTTTGCAAGCTAATTCCCACACTTAATGTGACTAATACCTCCCTTTCCACAAAATTGGGAATATCCTACCCCAAAGGTTAAGGGTTAATTAATTTGTCCACACCACAATTAATTGACAGCATTGATTAATGGTCTGGTGGTGGCAGTGATTAAGATCCTTGAGCTTGCTAGAAAGCCTGGTGTTGACATCACGTGTCTGTAGAATCTTAGACGATCGAACGTCTAAGATCACGTGAAGTGGGACTCGGCTGAGAGTTAGCTCTGGGGTTTTGGAATTAAGTTTATTCACGGGCAGGGTAAAGGACAAGTGTGTTTAAACCCTGTCCCATGTTACAACACTCAACCCCCCTCTGCTCATACCTGACAAGGGCCACAACCACTACTCCCCCCTGCCCACACCTGACTAGGGCCACAGCCATTAACTCCCCCCCCCCTCTGCCCACACCTGACAAGGTACACAGTCAACACCCCTCTGCCCACACCTGACAAGAACCACAGCCAATACCCCCTTCCCACACCTGACAAGGGCCACAGCCAATACCCCCCCCCCTGCTCACACCTGACAAGGGCCACAACCACTACTCCCCCCCCCTGCCCACACCTGACAAGGGCCACAGCCAATACCTCCCCCTGCCCACACCTGATAAGTGCCACAGCCAACACCACACATCCCTGCCCACACCTGTCAAGGGCCACAGAAATTTGGAAGGTGGCAAACGTAGTCCTAATATACAAGGGGGATAGATAGGAGGCACTGAACTACAGGCCAGTGTCCCTAACTTGCATACCATGCAAGCTAATGGAGAAAATTGTGGGAAAAAAGCTATTCAAACATCTGGAACGAAGGAACTTTGTGTCACAACACCAACATGGTTTCAGGGATGGCAATTCATGCCTCACAGGACTAATTGAACTCTACGATCAGGCAACAAGAAGCAGACAAGAAAGAGGGGTGGACAGACTGCATATTTTTGGATTGCCAGAAAGCCTTTGACTCAGTGCCTCACCAGAAACTAGTGCGAAAGCTGGAGATGCAGGCTGGAGTGAAAGGGAAGGTGCTCCATTGGATAAGGGAGTACCTAAGTAATAGAAGGCAGCGAATCACTGTGCGAGGTGAGGTCTCAGATTGGCGATGTCACCAGTGGGGTCCCGCAGGGTTCAGTCCTTGGACCCATACTGTTTCCTATATATGTAAATGATATTCCAGATGGTATAGAATCATTCCTCTCATTGTTTGCTGCTGATGCAAAAAATGAGGATTAAGACGGAGGAAGACAGTACGAGACTACAAGATGACCTAGACAGACTGCATGAATGGTCCAACAAATGGCTACTAAAGTTCAACCTGAGTAAATGTAAGGTAATGAAACTAGGCAGTGGAAACAGGCGGCCAGATACAGGACGCAGAATGGGAGATGAAGTCCTTCATGAAACGGACAGAGAAGGATCTAATTGATATCACACCAACCCTGTCTCCAGAAGCCTACATAAAAAGAATAACATCTGCGGCGTATGTGAGGCTGGCTAACATCAGAATTGCCTTCAGGAACCTGTGTAAGGAATCATTCAGAACCTTGTTTACCACACATGTAAGACCAATCCTGGAGTATAATACCCCAGTATGGAGCCCGTACCTTGTCAAGCACAAGGCGAAGCTTAAAAATGTTCAGAGATATGCCACTAGACTAGTCCCAGTACTAAGAGGCACGAGTTATGAAGAAAGGCTGCAAGAAATGCACCTCATGGCACTAGAAGACAGAAGAGTAACGGGAGACATGATCACTAACTACAAAATTCTCAGAGGAATTGACTGGGTAGATAAGGATAAACTGTAACACGGGTGGTATGCGAACAAGGGGACATAGGTGGAAAGTGAATACCCAAATGAGTCAAAGGGACGTTAGAAAGAATTTTTTCGTGTCAGAGTAGTTAACAGATGGAATGCATTAGGCAGTGATGTGGTGGAGGCTGACTCCATACACAATTTCAAATGTAGATATGACAGAGCCCCATAGGCTCAGGAACCTGTACACCAATTGATTGACAGTTGAGAGGCGGGACCAAAGAGCCAGACTCAACCCCCGGAAGCACAATTAGGCGAGTACAGTCAACTTCCCACCTCTGACAAGGGCCACAACCAATACCCACCTCTCCTGCCCACACCTGACAAGGGCCACAACCAATACCCCCCCCTTTGCCCATACCTGACAAGGGCCACAGCCCAACCCCCCCCTGCCCACACCTGACAAGGACAACAACCAATACCCTCCCCCCTGCCCATACCTGACAAGGGCCACAGCCCAACCCCCCAACCCCTGCCCACACCTGACAAGGGCCACAAATAATACCCCCCTGCCCACACCTGACAAGGGCCACAAATAATACCCCCCTGCCCACACCTGACAAGGGCCACAAATAATACCCCCCTGCCCACACCTGACAAGGGCCACAGCCCCCCCCCTGTCCACACCTGACAAGGGCCACAGCCCCCCCCTGTCCACACCTGACCCCCCCTGACAAGGGCCACAGCCCCCCCCCTTGTCCACACCTGACAAGGGCCACAATCCAAGGGCTACAACCCCCCCCCAGTCCACACCTGACAAGGGCCACAACCCCCCTCCCTGCCCACACCTGACAAGGGCCACAGCCCAAACTCGACCCCACACCTGACACAAGGCCAACACCCGAGGAGGACACCTGGCCAGGGCTCACACACACACACACCTGGCCAGGAGCCAGGGCCCACACACCTGGCCAGGAGCGAGGGCCCACACACACACACCTACCTGCTCGGGAAAGAGGTTGTTGGGCGGCGGGATACTCCGACTGTCAGACACAGTCTCCTTCTTGCCCTGGCCCCGACTGCTGCTGAAACAGTTGCCCATGGTGGCTGGTCGAGGCGGCCCAGGTAGCGAGTGTGGCAGACGCGTCAGTGCGAGGCGGGGCTCATGGCGGGGGCAGGCAGGAGGTGCTCAGAGCCAGCAGGAGGAGCAACATGGTGCGGGACCAGGACCCGCCGCCGCCTCCATTTTCACTTTCCCAACACAACAATGCCGCGCCCCCGCCTCTAACCCTCCGCTCGGCCAAGCAGTTCCCCCTAAAATACCTCTTCCTCTCTCTCTCCTCACACCACAAATTCACTTCATCCCCCTCACATACCCTCAATACCATTTACTTATCAAATATTTTCATTACATGCATCAAAGGGGGTTTAATTAGATGTGTATGTAGAGAGTGCGGAGTGATACTGGTAAAGAATGCGGGTGAGTATGATCTCTGGGAGACCAACAGGCAGTTACTTATTATCACCGTTAATTACTCTCTCACACTCGTATATGCACTCGTTAACACCTTCTCTCACACGCCCCAGACACGGTCTTGTCTCGGCGGGGCTCCCTAGTGCTGCACTAGAGCATGGCTGCCCTGTATTCAGTAATGTTGACAAAAACACGTTTTCCTTGAGAATGAACGGTGTTGGGGCTGCGTGTGGCGCCCATAACACTCGCTGGCAACCCTCCCACACTTTGTTTATTTACGTGTGCTGACGCGCGCACACCTCCTCCCATGTACGTGGGTGGTGTGTGTACATGACGCGCGCACACCTCCTCCCATGTACGTGGGTGGTGTGTGTACATGACGCGCGCACACCTCCTCCCATGTACGTGGGTGGTGTGTGTACATGACGCGCGCACACCTCCTCCCATGTACGTGGGTTGTGTGTGTACATGACGCGCGCACACCTCCCATGTACGTGGGTGGTGTGTGTACATGACGCGCGCACACCTCCTCCCATGTACGTGGGTGGTGTGTGTACATGACGCGCGCACACCTCCCATGTACGTGGGTGGTGTGTGTACATGACGCGCGCACACCTCCTCCCATGTACGTGGGTGGGTGGTGTGTGTACATGACGCGCGCACACCTCCTCCCATGTACGTGGGTGGTGTGTGTACATGACGCGCGCACACCTCCCATGTACGTGGGTTGGTGTGTGTACATGACGCGCGCACACCTCCTCCCATGTACGTGGGTGGTGTGTGTGTACATGACGCGCGCACACCTCCTCCCATGTACGTGGGTGGTGTGTGTGTACATGACGCGCGCACACCTCCTCCCATGTACATGGGTGGTGTGTGTGTACATGACGCGCACACACCTCCCATGTACGTGGGTGTGTGTGTGTACATGACGCACGCACACCTCCCATGTACGTGGGTGGTGTGTGTACATGACGCGCGCACACCTCCCATGTACGTGGGTGGTGTGTGTACATGACGCGCGCACACCTCCCATGTACGTGGGTGGTGTGTGTACATGATGCGCGCACCTCTCCCATGTACGTGGGTGGTGTGTGTGTACATGACGCGCGCACACCTCCCATGTACGTGGGTGGTGTGTGTACATGACGCGCGCACACCTCCCATGTACGTGGGTGGTGTGTGTACATGACGCGCGCACACCTCCCATGTACGTGGGTGGTGTGTGTGTACGTGACGCGCGCACACCTCCCATGTACGTGGGTGGTGTGTGTGTACATGACGCGCACACCACCTCCCATGTACGTGGGTGGTGTGTGTACATGACGCGCGCACACCTCCTCCCATGTACGTGGGTACGTGTGTACATGACGCGCGCGCACCTCCTCCCATGTACGTGGGTGTGTGTGTACATGACGCGCGCACACCTCCCATGTACGTGGGTGGTGTGTACATGACGCGCGCGCACCTCCTCCCATGTACGTGGTCATGTGTGTGTGTGTACATGACGCGCGCACACCACCCATGTACGTGGGTCATGTGTGTACTTCTCCCAGGATGAGCACGGGGTCAACTACTGCTCCCAGAATAAGTTTACCTGACATCCACTAACAGTAGTGGCCTCGACGAGGACAGGAAGCCGGTGACTTGTTGAAGGTCCCCCCAGTGAGTAGATATGTTGCACCATAGACTATTACCCCTACTGTGTGTACGGTGTACGCAACAAATACACCGTAGAGGAGAATATGTTGAGTGGTGGTGTGACCGTAGCCTGGGAGCCACACCATCACTAACTGGCTACACTTACGACTTAAGGTAAACGAACACTTAAGGTAAAGTGTTCGTACGGAGTTTGGCTCTGATGCCTACCATCTGCACCACTATACCGAATTAAAAGCAGTGAACTTAAACGTCACTACTTATAATTCGATATACTTATTGAACACTTAAACGCTTGCCCGAAACGCTATGCTTACTAGTGGCTTTAGGTATTGTATGCACTAGCTCTATCTATAAATCCAACATTATGTTTGTAACTAATGCTCTATATATGTACTTTTATCTGAATAAACATTTGATTTGAAACATCTACATTAAAAGCTATTCTACACATGTATTTAAAAGCGGTTGTCATGGCGCAGTGGTAAAACACTTGCCCGGCGCTTAGCGAGCTATTTGGCTTGGGATTCGTATCCTGGCCGGGAAGGATTGACTGGGCGCAAATCTTTAGCTATACGCCTCTGTTCACCCAGCAGTGAACGGGCACCTGGTTGTTAAACGATCTGGTGGGTAGTAATCCCGGTTGCTGTTTTAGATTCAGCTGCTCGAAACACAAGTTCCGAGTAGCACGGGCTATGGTGAGCCCGTAGTGGACTTACCTGGCACAGGAGCGGGGCTGTAACTTGGCCACTCAAGAGGTGGCATGGGCATGAATAGCCCGTAATGGTGTCTGGAGATGGTGTGGCGCGCATGGTGGTGGTGTGGCGCGCGTGGTGGTGGTGTGGCGCGGGAGACAGACTGTGGGGGTCGCCGGCAGGTGCTCGCGCCCAGACAGGTTATAATATGCATATTTTCTCCTTTTCTCCTAATATTCATATCTTCTCCAAGATATTCATCTCCTTCGTTTTCTTCAAACTTTCCACCTCTCCCTTCCTTCCTTCCTTCCTTCCTTCCTTCCTTCCTTCCTTCCTTCCTTCCTTCCTTCCTTCCTTCCTTCCTTCCTTCCTTCCTCTCTCTCCTCTACCTCCTTCCTTCCTTCATTCTCTCTCTTCTCTCTCTTAATTCTGTGTTTGTCTCTGGTGAGAAACGAGCCTGGGTGCGTGGATTGTGTGTGTTGAGGAGGATGGGGTGGTGGGGAGGAAGGACCTGCCAGCCCACTTCCTGCTGCTTATACCACCCTGCACACACTCCCTCAGGCCAGCCTCCCCCCCCTCCCCCCGGGACACTGCCGACCACCACACTCCTCCTCCATACCTTCTTAACACATGGAATGCTTTAGGCAGTGTTGTGGTGGAGGCTGACTGTATACGCAGTTTCAAAAGTAGCTATGACAGAGCCCAGTAGGCTCAGGAATCTATACATCAGTAGATTGGCAGTTGAGAGGCGGGACCAAAGAGCCGAAGCTCAACTCCCGCAAGCACAACTAGACTAGTACTCCCTCAGGCCAGCCATGGTCCCCCGGGGCACCACTGACCCGCCACAAGGCCTGCAGTCGGGGCATACAGTCTCACTCTCAGGTAAACACCATTAGGTAAGCTCGGGTCTCACAGGAAGAGGAAGGAGTAGGTAATGGTAGCCGGGCGCTGGTAACTATGTCCAGCCCCCCAGCCAGGGTGTGTTCAGCCCCCCAGCCAGGGTGTGTGTGTCCAGCCCCCCAGCCAGGGTGTGTGTCCAGCCCCCCAGCCAGGGTGTGTGTCCAGCCCCCCAGCCAGGGTGTGTTCAGCCCCCAGCCAGGGTGTGTGTGTCCAGCCCCCCAGCCAGGGTGTGTGTCCAGCCCCCCAGCCAGGGTGTGTGTGTCCAGCCCCCCAGCCAGGGTGTGTCCAGCCCCCCAGCCAGGGTGTGTGTGACCAGCCCCCAGCCAGGATGTGTCCAGCCCCCCAGCCAGGGTGTGTGTGTCCAGCCCCCCAGCCAGGATGTGTCCAGCCCCCCAGCCAGGGTGTGTGTCCAGCCCCCCAGCCAGGGTGTGTGTCCAGCCCCCCAGCCAGGGTGTGTGTGTCCAGCCCCCCAGCCAGGATGTGTCCAGCCTCCCTGCTATTTATTCTTTAATTATAGTAAATTAGACAACTGGTGTGCTCTGACCGCCGTATTTCCTCCTTTACACAACCTTTCCCCCTCTTGGAACAACACTAAATCATCCTTATCTTTCTTATCAGAGGCGGAGCATTACCAGCAACCTTGGATACATCTTCCCTTGACTGAGGAGGATACAAGATAAGAGCGGGAGGTAGTCCTTGGGTCTTATCACCTGGCTCCAGGGTCTAGTTAGGGTTCTCGACGATACACAGGCAGTTAGGGTCCCGTGCCGGACCCACACGGGGTGACAGGGTCCTGGACCATACAATCATGGTCACGCTGCAGTAGGCAGCGTGCCCTGGGAGGCAGCAGGCAGCTTGCCCTGGGAGGCAGCAAGCAGCGTGCCCTGGGAGGCAGCAGGCAGCGTGCCCTGGGAGGCAGGCAGCGTGCCCTGGGAGGCAGCGTGCCCAGCGTGACCTGGGAGGCAGGCAGCGTGCCCTGGGAGGCAGCAGGCAGCGTGCCCTGGGAGGCAGCAGGCAGCGTGCCCTGGGAGGCAGCAGGCAGCGTGCCCTGGGAGGCAGCGTGCCCTGGGAGGCAGCAGGCAGCGTGCCCTGGGAGGCAGCGTGCCCTGGGAGGCAGCAGGCAGCGTGACCTGGGAGGCAGCAGGCAGCGTGCCCTGGGAGGCAGCAGGCAGCGTGCCCTGGGAGGCAGCAGGCAGCGTGCCCTGGGAGGCAGCGTGCCCTGGGAGGCAGCAGGCAGCGTGACCTGGGAGGCAGCAGGCAGCGTGACCTGGGAGGCAGCAGGCAGCGTGACCTGGGAGGCAGCAGGCAGCGTGACCTGGGAGGCAGCAGGCAGCGTGACCTGGGAGGCAGCAGGCAGCGTGACCTGGGAGGCAGCAGGCAGCGTGCGTGCCCTGGGCAGGCAGCAGGCAGCGTGACCTGGGAGGCAGCAGGCAGCGTGCGTGACCTGGGAGGCAGCAGGCAGCGTGACCTGGGAGGCAGCAGGCAGCGTGACCTGGGAGGCAGCAGGCAGCGTACCTGACCTGGGAGGCAGCAGGCAGCGTACCCAGGGAGGCAGCAGGCAGCGTACCCAGGGAGGCAGCGTGACCTGGGAGGCAGCAGGCAGCGTGACCTGGGAGGCAGCAGGCAGCGTACCCTGGGAGGCAGCAGGCAGCGTACCCAGGGAGGCAGCAGGCAGCGTACCCAGGGAGGCAGCAGGCAGCGTGACCTGGGAGGCAGCAGGCAGCGTGACCTGGGAGGCAGCAGGCAGCGTACCCTGGCATTCCCAGGTCTCGTCCGTCACATCTCAATCTTGTCTTATGGCAGATCATGCACCTGCCCCCCTGGCCTCCTGTGGGCCTGAGGACACATAATGGGCCTGAGAAAACGTGATGGTGGTGGTGGTGGTGCAACCCGTCCTTTCAAAATAAAGTCGCTTTTCGCTCGTATGTGAGCTATGGCCAAAAACTGACGTAATTTTAAATGAAATCGGCTCACGAAAGTTATGTACTGTCCCTTT